CAAATATTTATTGAGTACCTATGATGTGCCAGGTACTGTTCTAATATCACTGTACTCACAGAGCATACTTTCTAGTGGGAGAGAGAAATGAACAAAATAAATGCATAAATTTTATTGTACATTGGAAGGTGATTCATGCTGTGAAGGGGAAAAGAGCAAGGGGCAGTGATATGGAATACTAGTGTAGGTAGTGGCTGCAACTTTAAATAGCATGGTCAGGGAAGACCTCACTGAGAAGGCAATATTTGTTCAAAGACCTGAAGGCCTCTCACCTCATCAGGAAGTGAGGCTAGGATGGTGGAAATGTTATGTAAGTGGATATTTAAGTAACCAATATTTAAGATAGCAGTTAATGGTAGAAATATCAGTAGAGAACAAAGAACTATTCTTAGAGAAATTGGGGTGGGAGGTCTGACCCAGGAATTGGTAGATGGTTGCAACAAGGAGGGTAATTGGTGGTATAGTGTGAAAGACACGAGATTTATTTTAAAAAGCTGAAAGGAAGTGGGCAGGCCCGGTGATATAAGGGGATTGAGAGGGAAAAAAAATAGGCACAAATTGAGAAGACTATAAGGGAATCTGTCATCAAGGGAGATCCAGATTTCAGTTAAACTAAGAAAAATTGTGGAGAATATTAAAAGAGGCTTATGAAATAAGGCATGTTGTACTATGTGTTCCAGAAGACCAGATGGGAGGGTTACATGAGTTGGTAAGGGGTAGGAAATGGAAACAAAATAGAAGACCAGATGGTAATTATTAGGTGATAAGGAAGGACTTGGAAATCTGAGGCTCCTGTATTTTGACACATAGAGATAAAAGTATAATGAATTTAGTTCTGGTAGTCTCAAGACAGATAACGGTGGTGAGGCTGTGTTTGGGGATGAGTGTGGGAAACAATAGAAGTATGAAGGTCCTGTAGATGAGTGTTCTTACTCCAGAATGAGCTGAGCTTACTCTTGACTCCTGTGAGAGGAGAGGAGTCATGCTCCATGATCTTATGAAACAGACATGGCCATATAGTACTGGAATGTTTCACCATGGTAACTTTATAGAAAATGTATCCATTAATATTAAAAGATATCTGTTGGTTTTGTGTCCTAGTTTTGGAGAACACATACCTCTATATTTTTATTCTCCAGAGGTAAATACTTATACAATTTCAAAGTAGGGGGATCCATCACCTTTAAATTTTTTCACTTTCCTATAGATTATCATTGTTCCTGAGAGTTTTTATAAAATATTTATTATGGCTGCAATGGAATAAATATCTCACTTGCATTTCCATAGTAAAACAATGGGAAATTAAATCACTGAAGCAATTCAGAATGGGTCCTACCCAAACTTTTTCTGTTAATCAAAGTTTACTAATGTTGTTATGTTTCAAATGGAAACTCATATAGTCTTAATTTCTTTGCTAAAAATCAAGTATGTTGGAGGTAGTTGCTGTATTTCTGTCAAATGAAAATATTTTTACAATATCTAGAACCTGTAAAGTAAGACTATCTTCCAAAGTGACAGGCCAAATTTTTCTGTATATCTTAAGCTTCACTAAAATTTCAGTAGGTAGCATAGACTGGTCAAGTTATATATATAAGGTATGTATCACTTATTCTTTTGTTCTGGCATTCAGGAAATGACAGTTCAGGAGGAAGCCTAAAATGGTTGATCTCCAACGAACACTTGCTGTTTGGCCTTCTCATTTCAATTTTCAAACAACTTAAAATATGATCAAAGACACTCATCAGAGGACCTGAGGAGCCTGTATTAATCACTTATAGATTTTAAGAACCACCTTATCATATAAATTTAGCATAAGAACAAGACAATAAAGAGGAAATTTAAAACCCAAAATGACAATCTCACATTAATGACCCCACCCCAAAGGTTTTGGCATATTAAGCCAGCTCTGTTACAACACATAGAGGAGAATAAATGAATGACAATGAAAAACAATTTGTAAGTAATTTGACCTACATTTACCCATTTCTAGGAAAGCCCCAAAGTGAATTCCTAGAGAGACTAAAGGAGTAGTTTCAACTACTTGCCCGAAGACAAGCTGAACATGGGAAAAAGGGATCTCACAAACTTTAAATTAGTGGACTCTTTTCCGGTTACTTTTTATTCATAAGGCCAGAAGGCATCAGTGTAAATTGAAGTTAGGGTTGGGTATGGTGGTAGCCAGGCTTTGAGATGGCCCGCAATGATTCTCACCTCCTGATATTCATCCCTTTGTGTAGTCCCCTCTCACATCGAATGGGGCTGACCTGTATAACCAATAGGATATTACAGAAATGAAAGTGTATAATTTCTGAGCCTACATTTTTTAAAAAGGCATGGTTTCTCTCTCACACTTTTGGATCATTCACTCTGGGGAGAAGACAGCTGTTGTGTCTGAAGGACACTCAGGGCCCTAAGTCCTTTGGAGAAGTCCATGTGGTGAAGAACAGATGTTGCAGGAAGGGGGACCCCTTCCAGGGCCTGAGAGTGGGCTCTTGTCTAACACTCAGAAATGAATTGTCCAAGGAGACACACGTGCTGAGAAAGCAAGAGACTTTATTGGGGAGGGGCACCTGGGTGGCGAGCAGCAGGGTAACGGAACCCAGGAGAACTGCTCTGCCACATGGCTCTCAGCCTCAGGTTTTATGGTAATGGGGTTAGTTTCCGGGTTGTCTCTGGCCAGTCACTCTGACTCAGGGTCCTTCTTGCTGGTGTGCGCATGGCTCAGCCAAGATGGATTCCAGCGAGGAGGATTCTGGGAGACTGGTAGGACATATGCACTGACGTCTCCTTTTAACCTTTCCCGAATTCTTCGGTTGGTAGTAGCTTGTTAGTTCCGCATTCCTTACCAGGACCTCCTGTTGTAAGATAACTCATGCAAGTGGTTACTGTCGGGCCTGGCCAGGGCGGGTGGTTTTGGTCAGTGGTTCCCCTAACACTGAGCCCTCTTGCCAACAGCCATGTGAGGGAGCCACCTTGGATGCAAATTCTCTAGCCCCAGTAAAGCCTTCAGATGTCTGCAGCTCAGCCAGTATTTTAACCACAACCTCATGATAGACCCCAACTAAGCCAGAACTACCTAGCTAAGCCACTCCTGAATTCCTAACCTATGAAAAATGTGTAAGATAATAAAAGTTTATTGTTGTTTTGAGCCATTAAATTAAGGGGGGAGGAAGTATAATTGGTTTTCGTTATACAACAATAGATAACTAATAAGCAATAATATGTGACAGAACCAGAATTCAAGCCCAAGTTTGACTCCAAAGGTTGAGCTCCCAAAAGGTTGAAAGTTTCCCAATGACATTTTTAGCAATTTTCATTAGTTTACCTATTAAAATAATTTTTCTTTGAAATGAATTCAGTTTGCCTCCTATGTAAAGAGAGGAACATCAATCCCTTTGTTTGGTCAGTGACATACTGTATTTACTAATACTGGGCAAGTTAGGTCTTGGGTACAGTCAGTTCGAAGTCAATAATAACAATGTCTATTTTCCAGGTATTCAATAAAAGTATTTCTGAAGAAGTCTGATTCATGTTTCAGGAGAAGTTTCTCTGTTGACTCTTCATTGAATCTTCTACTTTATGAGATATTAATGTGTATCATTAAGGAACTTAATTTGTTCCTTCTCCTGTCCCTCCTCTGAAACCATTTTAGTACACAATTTTAATTTCCTCAAGAGGAAAAATTAATGAGTTGTTTCTGAATTACCCTTAACTAGAGTTGCAAACAATTTTAAGAACCACTTTGAAGTTCTACCCAAAAGTTGTATCTAAATTTCACTTGTCATAATTTTTTTTTCCTTACTCAAATGTCATTTCAACCCTGGGGAAATAATGTTTTACCTTGAAAGAGATAAACATTTCAAACTAAAGAAACAAATATTTGTACTTCTTAGTCCAGGTGAAATGAGTCATCCTGCAACTAAAGAACATCTCAACCTGACTATCAGATCTGAATGTTATTGAAGTAAGAATAGGTCTTTCTTGTCCAGTAGACTGCTCATTTAATTTGAGGTAGAGCCCCTATAACTACCTCTTTGAGGAATGTTCTATTTCTCTCATTCAAAGCATCTCTAATTAAGAAGATATGAATTTTCAAAATATAAATTAGGAGGTAATTCTTTGTTTAATGAAAATATTAACTAAAGGATATATTTAGATAGTAGGACCTATAGAGCTCTATTTACAAATGTTTGTTTATATACAGATTTAATAAAGTAAAATATAACTCACAGACATGTATTTGTTCACATACTTTCTATCACAAAAACACTATTGCCTATTTTAAGCTTCTTATAAGGAATTCTAATTTTTCCCACTACTTATTTGATATGTATTTCCTTTATAACCTGTTGCTTTTATGCTTGCTATTCCAGCTCTGAACTCACCAGATATCCAATGTTTCAAGTCTTCTAGCTCATAACTGAGATGAGACAGTTTTAAGTGAAATCTTACTAAATCAATAAATAGTCCCATTTTTGTGTAGGGGTCATATTGTTATTTCTCTTTTGTTCTGTTAACAACTATTCTGGACCCCTACATTTCTCCAGGAAATGTGTATGGGATTTTATACCAGGAGACTACAACATGGCATCACCAACCCACACCCAACATGAGAACTAACCACTTTTTATACAAAGTACCCAGTGATAAAAGTAGTTGAAGGTCCCCAACTCTAGCAGGTGCACTAGTATGCACCTTCAAGCAATGAATGTACAGGCATGTAACCAAAGTGTTTCTATAATAGCTTTGGAGGCAGATAGATCTTAGTCAAATTACAGACAGTTGCCTTGGGTCACTCACTAAACTTTTCTGTATCTTGGTTTCTCTATCTGTAAAATGGGGGTAATAATCACTGCTTCTCAAGATTGGTATGAGGAAAGAGCATAGTCTGGCACATAGTCGGCATTAAATAAGTATTACTTCTCATTCCCCTGTATTTTACTGCACTCTTCAAATTAACTGTTCCTCAAGTCAACGGTATTTTTCATTTTCTCTTTCAGATTAAAGTTAAACTGCCAAATACGAACATTTCTGAAATTGAAATCAACATTCAGGAAATGACCCTTGACCTCCGTACTCCTAATAAGTGAGTAAAACTTAGAACTAGAATAATGAATATTATAATATTAATGAATCTTTAGTCAATATCCTTTATAAAAGTGTACGTAATTATTTTGTATCACTCCTAAAGTCTGAAGAAAAGTGAAAAAGTCAATCATTCAGATGTTTGATCTAGGTAATATAAACATATATTTGTAAATACCTAGGTTTTTTCCTACTTTACATGCATACATTTGGATTAGGTTGATACCACCAAGACATAGTCCTTGACATTCAGATGCAGTTTGCTTATCTGTCAGGAAAAATAGCTAGAGGTGAAAATCTCTTAAGTTGTAAGTCTTGCATGTGGCTTTCTGGTACAGTGATGGCATGAAAGAAGCAATCTTTAAGCATATTGGATACTGTGGGGCTCTAAGGTTAAATTTGATTATATTCATCTAAAAATCAACAAAAAGTCTTATTAATTGCTTAAAACAAAAATTCTAACAGCTAATTTATCACTAGATCCTCAAGTTGCATGAATACATTTAAAAATAATGCAGATGATAATGGAATAATTCAATTAAACATTTGATATTTTCAAAATAGTCTTGTTATTATACAAGTTCAAATCATGTTCCCCAAACAAAATGTATACGGTAAAATTCTGATAAAAATGTTTATCTTGAAACCTGGATAAATCAGCCCTGTCTCTCAAAACTAACTCTATAACAAGGGAATCTATAGAACCTGGCAAGTGCTAGATAAAATGTCTAAATATCTCACTGCTTTGTTCACTTTTCATCTGGATGTATAGCAGTGAGCACACTTTGGTTGAGTGCAGTGGTTCTTTGTAACTCATAGACATTTCAAACTGGGTGTGGGGAGCAGTCAGCTCCTAGCACATTCTCTTCCTTCCATTATCAGTACCTACAATTGTCCTTTGTTGATTGTAGGGCTTCAAGAAAATAACAAAATTAGATCTCTGGTACAAAAGACTTCTGTGTGTAAACAACCCAACATAACATGCATAGCTTAACCTTGATTTCTACAGTAGATGCATTTAACCCCAAATGATCTACAGATGAATACATAACAAATATTTTCTCATTACTTAATATAATTTCAAAAATGTATTCACTCAAAAAAATGTCTCATATTATAAAAATTACATTCCTTATTCCTACCATTCACTTCAAGGAGTATTGTAATTTTTTTCAATTACATGTTATACACGCATTTACTCTTCCACACAACCTTTGCAAGGAAAGTTGGTTAAATGAACCGTCAAATTTTTCATGATATTTGTGCACTTGTTAAAAGCACACACATATCTACACACTATGGAGTTAATTTCCATTCCCCTAGCAGTTCTCACTGTCGTTTCCATCCATCTTTAGGCAGCTGCTCTGGCTATGCTGTCATTCCAGATATTTATCAGAGCTCACTAAATGAAAGACTCACACAGAGATATTTTTCCACATAGAATGTAGGCTGCACTAGGTCATTTGGATCTTACAGTACTTATACATTAAATGCTCAGTGCATGAAGGTGCTGTCTCTTAAGAAAAAGATTCATTAATTAAGATAGAAGACAGAAGATAGAATTAAAGTTTTTATCACTTTTCCTAAACACTTGAACATGCTTTGGAGCCATGCTATTACCTGAAATTGTATTATTGGAAATGTGTCTTGTTTTTTAGTTTATTGATATTCACATCTACTTTCTTTAGTTTCTAACTTTGACACCTGTAACACTATGCTTACCGGCGCCAAGAAAGATAAGAGCGGACATTCTGTTAATGTATCTATAAGGCAAAACAAGTGAATTTATTTTAACTGAATTGACTAGTAATATCAGTCTATTGATAGTCAATTGCATTAAAATTATAAATAAAACAGAATTTTAGCATTGTAGATCAAAAAGGAATAAAACAGCTTGCTGAATTCTCCATTTTTTACAACTTTGTTTTGGTATGTAGATTCCCAACATGGAGTAGATAGAAAGGAAGAAAGATAGGGGAAATTGTATAATGTCTCAGAATCTCCTGACTTTATCTTCATATGGGGTTTCATTAGTTTTTAAGATGAATTCTAAGAATATCATAAATGAATTGCTTGAATGTGATAATAAAAACACACTCTGAAGACAAATATGAGTTAATTTTTGGTTGTGTGTTGCTTTAGATTATCTCACCTTTGCTGTGCTCCTTTGATTTATTGCATTGGCCAAAAAGTTATTTCGGGTTTTCCGTACGTCTTCCGAGAAAACTCGAACGAACTTTTTGGCCAACCCAGTAGATTGAGAGTTGACTGATATTCAAAGACGTAAACACCTAAAAAAATGTTTTCTAAATGGAATAGTGAACTGCAGCTCAGTAGCTATTTCTGCACTTTCTTTGAAAATAGTTATGTCTCCAATAGGAAACATTAAAAAGGCCATGTCCTTTTTTATCCCAGATATGTAAATCAAATAATTTATTAACTACATAAAATAAAAAGTGCATTATGTGAACATGCACAGAACAAGGTTGTCCTTTATTTAAATCTCTTGCAAGAAACATCAACTTGGGGCTTCCCTGGTGGCGCAGTGGTTGAGAGTCCGCCTGCTGATGCAGGGGACACAGGTTCGTGCCCCGGTCCGGGAAGATCCCACATGCCACGGAGTGGCTGGGCCTGTGAGGCATGGCCGCTGAGCCTGTGCGTCCAGAGCCTGTGCTCCGCAATGGGAGAGGCCACAACAGTGAGAGGCCCGCATACCGCAAAAAAAAAAAAAAAGGAAACATCAACTTGAATTCTCTAAAATAAATGTAAACATGTAAGTCTATAGAGTTCACTGTACAGATAATTTTGGGGTTTTCTTTCATATATTATTGTTTGCATCTAAATAATTTCTAATGAAAATTAACACTGGATAAACATTTGATCAGTGACTAAACTGTAGCTTCTTAAAAGGCAAATATCTTTTCAAAGTAGAGGCAGAGGGATTGGGTTTAAATGTTCATTCATATTTTATTATAGTACTAATTTATACCAGTTATTCAAATATCATTTTGTGGTGACCTGTTTGCTTTTCATTCGTTTATTCATTCAGTCAACAAACATTTATGAAGTCTGCTAGACACTGGGGGGACACCGAAATAAAATACTGTCGTGTTCTTCAATGAATTGTATATGATTAAGTATTAGTAGAATTTTATATTGTTTAAAATATAACTCTCACTTCAGATATCACACAGTATTTTCCTTCTTCTAAGAGCCTAAATAAGTTGCACAGTTTCTACTCAAAATTTTAGTATGGGAAGCTGTACTACTAAGGACTAGACAAAAATGCAGGGATAGATGGATCATTCCAATGGCCACTGTCTCTTTTGAATTTATTTCTCTCTGGATAGAGAAGTGCACATTATCATTGGAACTCCTTCAACTGATTTTTTTAGTTGTCTTTTAGTGCAATGAAGCTACCACCACTGAGCTTTGCTTTCTTTTAAAAGTGAATATACTATCATTTGTAGAATAAGGGATAAAGCAAATCTAACTCTAGTACAACCTATATTGTAAACAACTTTAAAAAGATGGACTCTCGGGAATTCCCTGGTGGTCCAGTGGTTAGGAATTTGTGCTTTTACTGCCGTGGGCCCAGGTTCGATCCTTGGTCAGGGAATTAAGATCCTGCAAGCTGGGCAGCATGGCCAAAAAAAAAAAAAAAAAAAGGACTCTAAATGGTTTTTGCACCCATTTTTTTTTTGAGATGCCAAATATTACAGGGTATATTAAGAAACATCGCGATTTCATTACTTCAAGTGGAGAGAGTTGTTTCTCCTACCCCAAATATCTGGAATGGAACAAGAGTAACAGAAAATTCCTCCTATAGGTTCCAGAGATGTGTGATAAATACTTTTAATGAGCCCAGTTTCCTGAACTTAGGTCTTTGCAAATGAGCAAAGAAGCAATTGATTTTCAAGGGCTTTGTTTTCAAATACTAGTTCTTTGTACAAGTATTCAATAAGTACCCCTAAAAATTACCACATTTCCTATACTGATTTGGATCTTATACCTTCTAAAAGAGCTTTTCTGTCCACTTTTTATAGAGATACTCAAGCCTTCTCTACTGAGAATGTGAGATAACAAGTGTTTCATGTATTTAATTTTCTTCAGATACCAGCATGTGCCGACACTATGCATAATTCAGATTCATACCACTATGACAGAATTATGGATGTCTCATCCCAGCCATGCATCTAAAGCATACAGTTATCCAGCAGCTGAGCCATAAACTGCAAACTACACTCAGCAATCTCTCACAGGAAATGTTTGCCAATGTATAGTAGAAAGAACAGAAGCAGGCAGAGAAAAGCACTTTCATTGATCTGGTATTGAAATCATTCCAGGCCTGAATTTCAATAACTACACTTAATGTAGTAATAGAGACTCAGTTGTGTTAGCAGAATTATTTAGAACCATTCCAATTTTCAGGTTTCTATCAGGCAGCCACATTCCATCTACACATAAGTATGACTGGCAATAGATCTATCCAGCCAACTTAAAGTTGCAATGGTTCTATTTCTATGCCAATAAACATAGCCTGAGACTATGTGTATATAATGCAAAATGAGGTCAATTCAGAAAAAAAGAGGGGTGGTCAAAACCACTGGTTGGATTCTTAAGGCCAAAAAAATGGTATACTAAATAGTTTTTTGGTTCCTAACATTGTGGTGATATATATTGCTTCCCATTGTCTTGATATCACTGATTCTAGGTTTTTATTTTGTTTTGTTTTTTAGGAAGCTGTTGGTAACCCTTCCCCATCCTGTGGAATGCAGCAATGCCAAAGCTTTCTATATCGCTGAAACTGAGACTCTCGAGGTCACCATGACTATGAAACGAGAGTTGGATTTTATTAATTTCTTCTGAAACAACATGAATAAGGAGGAAAAGTGGTAAAATACCACTGATAAAAAATTTTAAAAACTTTGAAAAAATTGGTTAATGTTTTCTATCTTCTCTTTATTATTCTGACATATTTCAGGCAGGGCCTAAATTCAATTCTAATGCTATTCTCATCATTTACAGTCATTTCTATTAATCTAGTAGGAAATGCTGTTTTCTCATACTAATAAGCTATTCCATTTTTATAGTGATAGCTGGATAGAATTTACAGGCTAACCAATTAGATTACTACATGGTCAGCTAAATAACTGAAATATGACCATGAAATTGATGGTCCACTTATTTCAGTAGTTTGAAGAACTTAAGCCAATTGATTATACCATGATACAATCAGGTGCATAGCAATTGGTCATTACTGTCACCAGAAAAGTTTATTTAGTTTCCTTTTTGTTGATTTAATCAAATGATTTCGAGTGTTCTCTGTTTAGGCTCTCACTATTGTTCTGGAGTATACAAATAACAGTTTGATGTGCCATACTAACAACATGTTTACTTGAATAAGAAATACTCTTGAGCACACAGTGTTGTTTGGCTTCCTCGGTCCTGTTCTCAGTGTTTGGATCTACTTAAGTTAAAAATATTTTCCTTTTGTGCACTAATAATTATTAACAATGCCTTTATGAATACTGTGTTTATATTAATTGAATTTCTTGGCATTTAAAGGGAATATAAAGAAAAGTGTGGCGCATTTACAAATCGTGTTCTCTCTCATTTCGTATATTTATTCGTAATTGGACATACTTATGTTATGAATTTGTACCCTGCCTCTTCTGTACTGTATTGCATAAGTTTACTTTAGAATTATTTATGAATAACTTGACTTGGTCTCACACCTCACTGTAGAACTCTGGAGTTACCTGGGAGTAAATTTTGAAAAGAGATAAACAGCAGAAACATGTGAACTATTAAGGGACTAAATACTCAAGCAGATATTGTCTAGGTTTAATTATGCAGATAACTATGAAGCATCTAGTTTATGACTAGATCAAATAGAAGGAAAAGACTGAGATTTTGGAAAAAGTGGTTATGTTAAAACACCAAGCTCTTGTAGAGAATTTGACTTTGAAATTAACCACCATGACTTTCTTCTGAGGGTGGGATTAACTGAAAAGAAGTTAGTGTCTGTGGATTTAAGTCCATGGTGTCGCAGAATTAAGAGTGTCCTACTTTGCTTTCTTAACATCTTTTTAAAAGGCTGTATTTTAAGAATTTAAGATCATACCCTAAGCTTTAACCTCTGGAGTAAGCCTAAGCAGTAGCCAATATTTTTCTTTTCTAGAGAGCAACAGTGAGTCAGTGGAAAATGTATCTCTTCTTTCGATGTAGTGGCCCTAATTACAAAGACCATTATTACTCAAGCTGACTGAATGTGTACAAGTTGTCCCTGGAAGAGAAGATAGAGCATATCCAGGGCAACTTGAATTGGGCTTTGGTTATGTTGTACTGTATCAATTATATAATGAAACAGAGCTTCAGGACAATGAAATGTGATCCAGTAATTTATACCCATCTTCAAATCATCCTACTTCACTGTCCTTGGCCTCAGAAGTAACAACTTTGTTGTCGTTGCTGTTTTGTTTTTAAGCTAATTCACAGGACTTTTCTCTCTTTAAAGGGGAATAGTCCATTAAAGCAAATGTAGAAAAAGAGAATACAAAAGGAAGTTAAAACCATGATTGTGGCATATTACTAGCCTTCTCCTTCATGAACTTCTTTACCTCCCTTTTTGGTTTTATAATCTCTAGTTGCGATTGTGAAGATTTAGTCATTCATTCATGCACTCATTAATGCATTCTTTCAACAAATATCCACTGAGCATTTACCACATGCCTGGCACTAAGTTATGTGCTGGGCATATAACAATGAGCAAACCGGATGTGGTCCTTGTCCTCATGGAGCAAGTAGTTTAGCAAGGGAGACCAACAATAACCAAGTAAACACATATTTTCAAGTTTATTATTGGTATGAAGGAAAACAATGCGTGCTTTGAGAATATCAGAGAAACCAAACCTAGTCTGGGGACGGAGGTCAGAAAAGGCTCCCCTAAGGACTTCATACTCAGCTGAAACATGGAGAATAACTAAGATTTAGCCAGGCAAAGAGAGTATTGAGGGAAGGAGGGTGGTAGGGCTTCTAAGTGCAAGGAATAGCAAATGTGAAGACCCAGGATGGAAAGAACCTGGAGCGTAGAGTTCAAGGAAATTAAAGCCTGTGTGGTTGAAGTAGAATGAATCTGGCAAGTGTGACTGGAGGTAAGGTTGGAAATTTAGGCTGGAGCAATGTCAGATAGAACCTTACAGGCTAAGGTTAGGAACTTGAATTTTATTCTAAGTTCTTTGGAGAAGAGGATGTATTTGGAGGCAAGAATGAAAATGAGGAGACCACTTAGGAGGCTATTGCAATAGCCTAGGCAAGTTATTATTCTACACTTCATCCTAAGTAAAATTCATTTGATTTTTTTCTAATTAGAAAAAAAGTACATGCTTACATGATCCAAGTAGGAAACTTTAACAATACAGAAAAGCTCTTTAAAAATAAAGCACCCACCTCCTAGAGAAATGGAAATAAAAACAAAAAGAAACAAATGGGACCTAATGAAACTTAAAACTTTTGCACAGCAAAGGAAACCATAAACAAGACCAAAAGACAACCCTCAGAATGGGAGAAAATATTTGCAAATGAAGCAACTGACAAAGGATTAATCTCCAAAATATACAAGCGGCTCATGCAGCTCAACATCAAAAAAACAAACAACCCAGTCCAAAAAATGGGCAGAAGACCTAAACAGACATTTCTCCAAAGAAGATATACAGATTGCCAACAAACACATGAAAGAATGCTCAACATCATTAATCATTAGAGAAATGCAAATCAAAGCTACAATGAGGTATCATCTCACACCAGTCAGAATGGCCATCATCAGAAAATCTAGAAACAATAAATGCTGGAGAGGGTGTGGAGAAAAGGGAACCCTCTTGCACTGTTGGTGGGAATGTAAATTGGTTCAGCCACTATGGAGAACAGTATGGAGGTTCCTTAAAAAACTAAAAATAGAACTACCATATGACCCAGCAATCCCACTACTGAGCATATACCCTGAGCAAACCATAATTCAAAAAGAGTCATGTACCAAAATGTTCATTGCAGCTCTATTTACAATAGCCAGGAAATGGAAACAACCTAAGTGTCCATCATTGGATGAATGGATAAAGAAGATGTGGCACATATATACAATGGAATATTACTCAGCCATAAAAAGAAACAAAATTGAGTTATTTGTAGTGAGGTGGATGGACCTAGAGTCTGTCATACAGAGTGAAGTAAGTCAGAAAGAGAAAAACAAATACCGTATGCTAACACATATATATGGAATCTAAGAAAAAAAAATGGTCATGAAGAACCTAGGGGTAAGACAGGAATAAAGACACAGACATACTGGAGAATGGACTTCAGGATATGGGGAAGGGGAAGGGTAAGCTGGGACAAAGTGAGAGAGTGGCATGGACATATATACACTACCAAACGTAAAATAGCTAGCTAGTGGGAAGCAGCTGCATAGCACAGGGAGATCAGCTCGGTGCTTTGTGACCACCTAGAGGGGTGGGATAGGGAGGGTGGGAGGGAGGGAGATGGAAGAGGGAAGAGATATGAGAACATATATATATGTATAACTTACTCACTTTGTTATACAGCAGGAACTAACACACCATTGTGAAGCAATTATTCTCCAATAAAGATGTTAAAAGAAAAAACAGATTTAACTACAGGAAAAAAATAAAGCAAAATTTAAAATCACCTGTAACCCAACAAACCATAAATAACCACTCTTAACCATTTTTAGTACCTCTTTCCAACTTTTTCTTTCAATGCCTAAGACAGATACCAGTTTTCCCCCAAATATGATGATAACACACTGGCTTTAAAACCTACTTTCTTTTAATTTCCAAGTATATTCTTTTTTTATTATCTTTTTGTTTCTGGGAATTCTAATTGTATTGCATTGTGATAAAAAAGTGTGATAAGTGAATGATCCATGCGTATTTTTAAAGAATGAGTATTCTGTAATTATTGGGCACAGAATTCTATCTATATATATCAACTTAAGTTTTTTAAATTTAATTTTATTGGAGTATAGTTTATTTACAATGTTGTGTTTCAACTCGTTTTTCTTTTTTAAACTGTGTTGTTCAGATCTTCTACATTCTTGTTGATTTTTGGCCTGCTTTCTGTATCAACATGAAGAGGTGTATTATCGATAAAATTTACCAGTGATGATAGATTTGTTCATTATCTCCTTGTAGTTCTGTCAGTTTTTGCTTTATGTATTTTAAGGCAATATATTTAGCTGCAGACAGACTTAAAATTGTTCTGTCTTCCTGGTGGATTATTCCTTTTATCAATATTCTGTGACACTCTTTATCCCTAATAATGTTTTTTGCTTTAAAGTATGTTTTACTTTACATCAACATAGCTACATCCACTTTGATTAGTATTTGCCTGGCATATCTTTTTCCATCACTTTCTATGCTTTTATGTTTTAGGTATGACTTTTATGAACAGAATTTAGATAAATTTTGGATTTTTAAATGCAACAAAGATTCTTACATGTTTTCATCCAGTTACATTTATTGTGATGAATGATACACTTGGATTTATTTATATCACCTTATATGGGATTTCTGTCTTATTCTGCTTTTTTCTAAGCTTTTTTTCTCCTTTCTTGCTTTTTTTTTTTCTATTAGTCAGTTTTCAAAATTCTCTTTTCCTCCTGCTGATTTGGAAGTTATATATACTTTTTTTTTTTTTTTTACCTCAAATGTCTAAAGTTTCTCAGTAGTTCTACCCGCCTTAACACGATTCAAAGACATAGAAAGTTTTAGCTAAACTATGCCTCTCCAACTTTGTTTTCATACCCCCAAATTATTCATCATCTTCATTATTGTTTTCTTATGACCGATGCTATT